GTTCTAATTTCATTTGATTCATAAGCAGTCCCCCTCCCATCCCAATTATAGTTTTTTGAGGACAGGACTGTGTGTACAGCCCTGTTGAAATCCCTATTACATGGACACAGTGCTTTGAACATGGTAAGAGCTCTGCCTATTTTGATGGCAGCTCCAGCTTTGTCTGATCTACCAGGATCAGCACTTTTGTTCACTGTTTATCAGCTTGTGCCCTTGAGTTATTAAACATTATAAAGCCTCATTTCTTCATCTATAAATGGAAACAGTTGCACTACCTACCACAAAGGGGCACTGTAAGGAATGAGATGTATCACATCCAGGGCTCCGGAAGGTCTGATATGTGGTATTAAACACAGATGAGACACTGTTATCAGCACCAGCTGTTACTGGAATCTGAAATATGAGAACTGGGAAGACGGCTCAGCAGTTAAAGCCTGGCAGCTTGAGTTTGATTTCTGGGACCCATGAAAAGGTGAAGGAGAGAGCCAACTCTACAAAGTTGTCCTCTGACCTACACACACTATTCACATACACTCACACAATAATAATTTTAATAATAAATTAAATATAATATCTCAGGCAACCCTGAGAAGAGGATGAGTCCATCCCTTAAGTAAAGGTGGTCTCTTCTGTGGAGACAGATGCAGGGGTGAGACAGCCCTTTCCAACACAAATATAATTGGAAAGAACTGTGCCTTCAACCTTATAGGAATGTGCAGGAGAATTTCAGATAAAACAAAACTGCATTAACAAAAATTGGAATAAAGCTACTTCACCACAGTGATTGCCAACCAGCAAATTATCACTTCTAGGCAGACAAGAAAAGCTTCCCCTGCCAGAGACTCCCTCTCTCAAGGCACCTTCACACTATGTGTTTTCCACATCCCTCCCAACTACCAAGTGACTCTACTTCTCAGTCTCCACACAACTGATGCCACCATGTCACCTTCCTGGTACCACTATCCCAGTCAGCAAGTATGAAAAGACTCTGAGGAAAACAAAAATGTCTTCTCATACTGTGTTAGACTCAGAGCCTAGAGCTACCAGCTAAGTCCTCACTGCTGCATGCTTCAGAGGTTCCTGTGGCTTATACTTAACATCTTCTTATTCCCATGGGTTCCTCTTAGCTTTGTTCCTACAGTTGAAGGGAGCGAGAGTTTCATGCAATCAGTACAGTTGTTTGCACTGTGATAGTTTCCCTTTGGAATCTCCCTGTATTCTGTCCCTGCTGTTCCCACAGAATAATTTGATTTCAGCACCTACCTTTTATTGTGTTATCAATGTTCCAGTCTCTGTGCCAGGGATGAGGCAGTGTCAAGAAGGGCACTGTGTTTGTTAAGAAATTAGTAATACAAATTAAATTACTCTGCATGGGTGGACAACGTCATTCCAAGAAGAGATAGGTTACTAAATGAAATTGCAGTGCAAGGCATAGAATACCTCCCTATGAGTTATTGGTTAAGAAAACACCAGAGGGCTCCAAAACAACACAGGCTATTGTCATTGCCCTTGGTTACCCACCATAACTACATGGTGAGATCCTATTGCTGTAGATATCACACACTTTGACTGCAGAACACAGAGAAATCATTCTCAAACTGACCAAGAAACTTCTTCCCTTCTAGCTGAATTCTCAAACTTCCCTTTCATAGCACTGGAAGGTGCTGTACAGACTGATGGGGGTGAAAAGGTATCAATGGTTTTACCTAACACGGGACCCTATATGTTGCAATAATGACCTTCCAGGCAAGATGTGTCTTTTGGCACAATGACTGTTATGGGATAATGAATTGCTTTTTTATTGGCTTTGAGGCCTGCTCCACCAGAGAAATTTTCATGCCTGGGACTGACCCATTGCTGGGGAGGTCACAGACCCTAGAGTAAATTCTGCTGTCATTTTTCTAAATGGTCATGCTGTCAATTGCCTTCTAAATATTTATGGTTATACCCATAGAGCTGAACTGCTCTTAACCCTGTTTAGAAAACCTTCTTTTTGTAATGGGCAGCTGTCAGTGGTGAGATGCATAACTCGTCAAAGTGTTAAGAATAAGAGATTCAGTGTTCAGCTTTATATGGACATCAGCATAAACTACACCACCAAGGTTCAGAGAACATCATGGAAGAGGAGACAAAAGGAATATAAGGATGAGAAGATGGGGAGCAGTGCTTTGAAATGCTGTCTTTTGGACATTACTTGGTTATCATATTCATGATCTCACAGTAGCTATAGTTACCTGCATAAGACCAGCACAAGATCAATCCAACCAAAATCTTGACTCAGATGGAGTAGATTATTTCCAGGCCTATTTCCATACCGAGGAGCTACTGGCAGTGAATAGTTGCTGTGGGAGAAATGAACATTCCTTTTTGAGAATGTGGTCACTGGTAGGTTTCCCATGGTCCAGTGCATGACCCCACACCTATGCCCAGATGGGCAGCTCTAATTGGATTTAGTGGGTTATCTTATCAAAAAAAAAAAGACATGAAGTTTGGATGTGGCATGTTGTACTGATATGGAGGTGGGAGATGGGGTAGATATGCTTATAGTCCATTGTATACATGTATGGAATTCTAAGAAGAAGGAAAATATTATTAAGAAGAAATTATTAAAACAAATACCTGCCTGAAACTGCCCTAAGTACTACAAGAGAGTAAAAAATAAGATGCCTTTCTTCTGTCTACCATTACCCATCTACAATCCATACAGTGGCCTATTTGTTTTTTGAAATGCAAACCAATCCTCATCATTGCCCTGCTTATGGCAGCCCCACTCAGCCAGCTCATCAATTCACCTCCATTTCCAGCTTATTGTTTTAAGAAAGACATGAATAAGGAAACATTTGTGATACACAGCTTGGAAATGTTGGTTTTCAGGGCTGGATGTGTAGCTCAGTGATAAAGTATCTGCTTAGGAGGCATGAGACCCTGGGGAAGGAAAGGAAAGAAGGAAAGGGAAAGGGAAGGGAAGGGGAAAAGGAAGAAGGAAAGAACAGAAAAAAAGGAAAGGAAGACAGAAAGGAAGGGAAGAAGGAAGAAGGTTGGCTTGCCATGACCCCAACTCTAGATCATCTTTAAATGCAGTAATTGCTTGCTGGTATATATAGAAGTTATCCAAAGAAAGCTATGAGTATGCAGGGCTAGGACTTGAACCTACAGAAAATAGATGGCCTGGCTTGATTCTTCTCACATCTCCCTGACAAGAACCTTGTCCCTGCCAAGTCCCTATTTTGTCTCTCTAAAGGAGACCTCTCATCTCTAGGCATGTCACAGACTTGTAAGCATCTTGGTTGACTGGAGACATTCTTTTGTAGTCCACTGTGATATTCTGTCTCCTCTTCACCCAATGCAGCGCCTTCATTTCTCCTGAGATTAGGTCCTCCCACCACCCTGACTCCAAACATCAGTCACCCACCCACTTTCTAGCAGTAATATATAACTTGTCCAATCCTGATACATGTTGATATGTATGCCCATTCATGATTCTTCACCCAGAGTGTGTGGAGTTGTGTGAGCTTTGAGGTTCAAAGTTTTTTTCGATCTTAGAAAAGCTAAAGGTCAGCAGTCATAATCAAAACAGGAATGTTTGTTTAGTGAAACTAATGACTATTCACTCTGAGTGGGATACATACAGATTATAATCAGCTTCTTATCAGATCAAGTCAGGTTTCACTACAAGCAAGTGCATTATTTCAGATGTGTGGATCTGAGCTACTAAAAACAGCTACCTCTACTGAGCCTACCTCTGTGTCAGACCCTCCATTATTGCTTGTATTATCTCATTTCACCCAACAGTGCACATGAGGGAGGTGTTGTCTTTGACACATTACAAATGAGGAAAGTAAGGCTCAAAGAGGTTAAACATGATATCCAAGGTCAAATCTCTTGAAAACAAGCACCAGGGTTCAAAGTCAAAATCCATGTGCTTCCTTCAATGGCTGTATCATTTCCATGCTGAATTTACTTCCTCTCACTCCGGAAACAGTACTCCAGGTATGGACAGGATGCACAAATGCTCACCAACGATGAGAAATAGAGGAGCATCTTAGTTTTTGAATTTATAATTTACAAGTTATGCTTGTCTTCTTCAAGAAGATGACATGGCACATAATGTACCAGTTCTGTAAGGAAAGTGCCAAGCCTCTGGGACCTGGGACATGGGTGTGGTAAAATTTACCAACAAACATGTCAGGTGACAGGCCTGTCTGTCAGCACGTGGGTGACACTGATACTCAATATGTCTTCTTGAAGTAATACAGAATTAATTCTCAACTTTTAAAGTTCAGATTTCAACCAAAAATTCAAATAGTTTCCTTATGTTAAAAATGTTTTTGGATTTTCTTTTTTGGGAACAGAATCTTCCAGGGTAGTCAGGCTGGACTAGAATTCACTATGGATCCCAGGGTGGCTCAAACTTGCAGTGATACTCCTCCCCGAGTCTAAGTGCTTGGATTACAAATGGAGCCACCATGCCTGACTTTTAAAAAATATTTTCAAGTTGTTCATTGTGTCAATTTCTCATCACTGTGACAACATATCTGGCATAACCAGCTAAGGAAGAAAATTTTTATTTGGGCTCAGAGTTTCGGAGCCCTTGGGCCATCCTTGACATATCACTGACACATCACAGTAGCCAGAAAACAGAAAGAGACACTGTCTGTGACACTGGCCTTCCTCTTCCTTTCCATTTTGTTCCATCTGGGCCCACAGTCTATTGGATGGTGCTGCCAACACTCAGAGCAAGTGTTCACCCCTTAATTAGTCCTCTCTGGAAATGCCCTCCTTAGTTAAGTGTGAGTTACTAATCTCCCAGTGCTTCTCAATCAGTTGAGCTGATAATGATTAGCATCATATTCACAGTTCTTTGCTCGTGATGTTCCCACAGTTCCCTGTCTTCTAGCCTTCATGACAATAATCCAGATGCTGCTGGAAGGCATAATGAATGGAAGAAGACAGGTGGAGGTAACTGCAAAAAGAATGCTGTGTTGGAAAAAAAAGGGAAATTAGGGAGCTTCTGCCTTGAGTGACACACAAAGGGTAACACAATTACTCTGTGTGCTGAATCAACAACAAGAGAACTCAAAAGCATAGTTTTTTGGTACTTGGGCAGCTGGCAATCACTGGTCCCAGAGCCCTAAAAACAAATGGTGTATGATGGGGGAGGAAAGAAGGGAGCAGCATGAATAAGGGAAAAAGAAACTCTCCGTTCAATGTGAGCCAACAAGAGAAATTCCAAAGCACATGAGAAAAACTCATACACAAGAGTCAGTAACTTTGGTAGAGAAGGTGATTCTCTTCCTAAGATGAATTCTTCTTCAGAAAAAGCATGTAAATACTAGACAACTAAGAAAAACTTACAACTAAATAGGCATTTTAAGTATTTTTGATAGTTATCAAAAAGATAGAAATATAATCTGTTGTGGTTTGAATAAGAATGTCCCCTATAGGTCCAAGTATTTGAACACTTTGTCCTCACTTGGAGACAATGTTTTGGGAGGTCTTATAAGGTGTGGCCATGCTGGAGGAAGCACATCACTGTGGGAAGGCTTAGAGAGTTCTTAAGCTTTGTTAGATCTCCAGTGCCTGCTTGAAAATGTGAGAATTTAGCTTCTGCTCGTACTCCAGCTACCTCTGCCACCATGTCTCCCTGCCATGATGGACTCTTGCCCCTTTGGAACTGTAAGCTAATTACTCTTCCTTTTATAAGTTCTCCTGGTCATGGTGTTTCTATCACAGCATGGTGATTCTATCACAGCAATAGAAAAGAAATTAATGCATAATCCTTACATTCCAATCTGTAGACATGAAGTGGAGGGACATGAGTTCAACATGAGATAGTAAAATGAAAAACAAATGAGAGAGGAAATTAAGGAAGTATAGAGAGACAAGGAAAAAATATTTCCTGGATTTTCCCAGTTTCCAAGGTAATCACCCCAAATCCAGGTTTATTGGGTTAGAGGTCATCCTCAAGGTCAGTAAAAACGCCTCAGAAAGGAAGTAATGGAGTTTGCAGTACAATTTATGGAGGAAAAACTAGAGTTCTTTCTTCCCCCACACTAGGAAACCAAGTATTTGCTAGTTATCCTCCAAAATTCATTGAAGAAGAAGCATCTGTTGTTGGACTATTGTTCCCAAGCTCTGAATCCTCACAAGGGGTTTCTTCTTGTTGAAAGAACTCTCAGGGAGACTCTGACAGCTAAATCTGAACCACTGATGTCTCCAAAACTTGTCCAGAGAATCTTGGGCAAAAAAGACCTTGAACAGATCTGTTCCTCAATGTCCTTTCTCTTACAAGCAGTCTGGCCTTTCATCAAAATGCATTCATACTCTGAGCTTGAATTTCAAGCAAATACACACTCCCATAAACATCATGAAGTAAAGGAGGTGATGATTTTGCAAGACTTTTGAAATTTTCTTAATTTATTTATTTATTATTTTTATTTTATGTGTATGCGTGTATAGCCTGCATGTAGGTAAGTGCACCCATGTTGTGCAATGCCCACAGAGGTCAAAAGAGTCTGTCGGATCCCCTGGGACTGGAGTTACTCACAGTTGTTAGCTGCCACATGGGTGCTGGGATTCAAACCCAGGACTTCTACAAGAACAACCAGTGTTCTTAAGCGCTGAGCCATCTCTCCGGCCCCGACTTTTGAAAATTTCTAAATTTTCCAGATCAGCTCAGTTTCCTGGGCTTAGGAGGGAAAGCTCACTGGGCTGCATGTCCTGATGTCCTGGGAAAGGAGGTGCTTTCCAAGTCTCCTCTCTGGAAGCCAGAAATGTAAAGCAGATAATGTAAATTACATTGTTGTTTTGGTCTGGGCCTGAGAGGCATGCATCCAATCTGAGATCAAATAAATGGATTCTGGGCCTGAGTAAGCTGATTAAACAGGATTCACTTTCTAGAGCAATCTGAAAATTAGAAAGCAGCACCAGCAAAATTCTGCCTATATTTTTTGAGCTAAAACCAAGATGCCTCCCAAGGAGGGGATCCAGCTATATCTAGGTACTGTGTCTTACACTGAGAAAAGTACAGCTACAGGCTTAGAGAATATACAATTCTGACTCAAATGAAGATGAAAGTACTTAAATTTATATCACCCATGATTACAAAATCTCAGCAGCTTGCATTTACTGAGGGTTTACTATGTACTCAACACTGATTCAAGTACTTAATAATCACATAATGTTTCCAAACTACTGTAAAAAATGAATATCCCAAACCATGACAGAAGTACTGTTATCATTTCTATTTTATAAATGAGAAAAGTAAAGAACAGAAGATAGAATGTGCTGGTGCCGAGACTCAAATCTAAGCTGAGTATAAAGCCCACTTGCTTTAACCGTTAACCTGTCTGGAAAGCACAGAGGTCTTACTGTTAGTATACGGAACAGTACTTACTATACATTGTACTTGCAGTACATTACCCTGGCCTCTTCCTTTCAGAATTTCAAATTGAGAATCAGCATCTCCAAGAAAGAGGAGCCCCCTTCTCCTGCCCTAAGAAAAGAATGATCATGTGCCTGAGCCACAGAGGCAATTCCTTGTGTCTTTGCTGGGGATTAGTGGACATCAGACACAGATCTAGCCAATGAGAACTAGAAGATTCTATTGGCAATGTCTGGGGAGGCACTTGTTCCATGACCACTAAAGACACACTGAAATCACCTACTGCACATTTTTCTTTTCTTTTTTTTTTTTGCACGTCATAAAGCATGTTGTATGTAAACGGTGTAAAGCTTAGAGCTGAGGCAGCATTTAAGGCTTCTCAACCTATGGACAAAAGCTTATAGGCTGATGCAAGGGTTAATTTTGATAGCTAGCTTGAGAAGTTCTAGAATAGCTTGGAAGACAGACCTCTAGCCATGTCTGTAAGGAAGTTTCTAGGTCGGGTTAGTTGAGGGGGGAGGACACACTATAGATATGGATGGCATCATTCCGTGGCCTGGGGTCTCAGACTGAATAAAAAGGAAGACACAAAGCAGCACAAGCATTCATCTCTCTTTGTTTCCTGAGGGCACAATGTGACTGACTGCTTCAAACTGCTATCATCAGGCCTTCTCTACCACGGTGAACTGTACCCTCGAACTGTGAGCCAAAAGAAACCCTGCCTTTATAAGCTGTTTTTAATCAGATATTTTATCACAACAATGAGAAAAAATAACTGATAGAGCTGAGGGCAGCAGAGAAGACAGAGTTTTTAAAGTCTGGCTTGATGGTGACAGACTGAGCCACCACACCACCCATCCTCATAACCTCCATTTCCTCACTTCTTTTTTAAAATTACTTTATGGGTATGTATGTGTGCTATTTGTTTGTATGTGCACTACCTATCTTCAGGTGCCCTCAGAGTCCGGAAGAGGGTGTCAGTTCCCACAACACTGGAGTTACAGGTAGTTGTGAGCCTCCTCATGTGGGTGCTGGGAACCAAACCCAGGTCCTCTGCAAGAGCAACAAGGGCTCTTAAATGTTGAGCCATTTCTCCAGCCTCATCTTCACATGCCTTGCTATGTGGGAGATACATATGTGTATATATGATGTTTTATATATTTATATTATAAATAAATATATATATATTGTTTCATTGTTACCATGACACTTT